TGAATACCCGCCTTCGAGACGAGGTAAAATCCCAGTCCCAATGCACAAGGCTAAAACGATTTCCATGCGAAACAGCTCCCTTTATAAGCCTTCAAGGATTTACATTATAACGGTCTGCGTGGCGGTACGTACGCAATGCTCACCCATAAAGTCCTACCATAAAATGAATGTTATAAATATTCATCCCTGAAAGTGCCTAATATGTGTTAGATTGTAAAATGTCCACACCCTGTATCAATTTTGCATCTTACACGGATTTGAAGTGATATTTGATCAGAAACCTTATTGCCGTTTATGAGTATTTTTGTCCTGAAATACAGTTCAAATCGTCTACAAGATTTGAGATCTGACTGAAGTATCGTGTTATAGTCTGCCCTGGCCTATTTACGTTTCATTCCTTAGCGAAATTCCCCCAGACCAATTTCTCTTGGGCTTTTATTTACCTTTACGTTAGTAACAAGTGGCATCTATTCAATTATTTACGCCAGCTGACGTTAAACTTGACAGACTTGCACACTAAAAGTCAACCACGTTCATTCCGTTATATCCCTTCTTTACTACCAAATGAATCATTCATAACATGGCGGAAAATGTTGTGTTGGTCGGTAAACCTCTCTACATTCGGCGCATGTGAGGCCTAGGGAAACAATGTTGTGTTTCCTGTTTCAGTCCTGAAAAAAATTAGGGTCGGTAGGTAGGGATTATATTTCTTTTTCTTTTTCAGACTTCAGTGATATCCATATTGGGATCCAACTTATACAATACAGTTTAACGAAGTAAAACTTGCACGAGGACACTTTTATTTTCAATGTTAATGTAGAAAACAAATTGTACAACGTTTTATCACTCAGGTGTCAGATCATGGAGCCAGAAAAGGTTGATTTATGTCCCTTGCAGGGGTCCACACAAAAAAGTCTGGGGTCCGCAGGTTTTCTAGGGTCGGTCGGGAAACAGGAAACACGGCGTTTTTTTCCCTAGGCCTGATAGACTACATGCTGCTGCTGCGTCAGACTACATGCTGCTGCTGCGTCTGTCACGGTAACTCACGTTTTACTGTCACCCAAGCAGGGCCGGCGTCTTATCAAACTTCTTTGGACTGGCTCTGACAGGCGTGTGCCAGCAGTGTACGTGACTCTGTACCGGGCATGCGTGATTCGTGTCGTTATTGGTATCCCGTTGGACCGCTAGAAAATTACGTGGCAATCTCATCCGGGAGAGCAAACCTCTGTCTGTGTTGACTTTAATGCGTTACATTAAGATCAATAATTTAAGCTTCCCGATACGCCCGTACGTTGTGTGAACTCTGGTTCCATCACGACTGACACACTGATGTTGTAAAGTGATTTCCACAGAGATCTCACCACGCCGCTGGAGACTGGGGCATACCGTATAGTCGACATCCCGCTGGACCAAATGTCATTAATGTACCTGGAGAAGGTTTCATGTTACACATTACCGGAACTACTCATGTAAAATTGTAGTGTGCCTGTAATGTGCTTCTGCATGTTGTATACATTGAGACTAACGGGATCATTTCAGCGTGTGGCACATCATGTCGTCTCATATGACACAACTTGCGGGCTTTCCGTTTCCAAATGCGTCAACTTTAACTTCATGTGAATCTGAGTAAAGTTAGCTGCAGTTTCACCGGTGGTAAAATCACGAACAGCTCATCCTATGAACATGTCCTTCAAAACACACCTAATAGATTATACGGAAAGTTGCCTTCCATATATATACTTATGTCAGAACAAAGCAGCGCTAGTTCATAACATAGATACACATCGGTGCTAATATTGCTACCAAGCCTTCTGGATTTTAGTCTGTCTTATCTACATTTACAATATATTACATAATGAATCTATTTGGCATATTTCCTGCAACAGTTAAGATCTGCACATCAGTTATAGCATCATGGGATTATTGCTGTGCGATCTCTGGGCTGTTTTCCAGCTGTGCCTGTAGTCACTTTAATACTAAGAATGAAAACAGAGCGGTTCCCAGTAGTGTACCATGCTGTGCTGTGGGTAGTTTGTCTTCACTACGTCGGTATAGATGAGGTAAAGGAACAGTTAAATCACGATGATTGTAAGGTATGCACAATTTCAAATACATCCCTCCGCTGGGCGCCATGTTGGAGGTGGCAATTAGTTATTCAATCACTCGTAGACTTCCAAAACATGATGAAAGAGGTGTTGAGTTCAGAGTTACGTGAGGGAGATGATTTATTCAGTATAATTAAGTTGAATAGAAACAGATGTTGTATGCTAGTTTATCTCCTGTGTATTCACAGTGGCAATGGGCCAGCCGCTAGCGACCTTGAGAACCCCCTGAGTGAGGACCCGGGGTGGCCGTGCAAGTCGACATCTGCGGCAACTCAATCATTTCGGATGACGTAGGCTTTCTTTGTATACTTTATCCAGACTCCCAGCTTCCCAGCTGCTTCCGCAATTTTGAAAAACAAGCCATGTTTGTCCCATCTGGTCCGTCGGTGCGAAATGTCAAAATGCGTCTTCCCTGTATCCGAAACAAATTGTGTCCACAGAATTGCTTTGTACCGAAGTTGTGTATGTCTAAGGGCAGGGTCACATGCCGCAAACCGACGGCATACTGAGGGCAGTTGTACATGTGTCCTGTAAATTTCAGTTCTCTTTTTACAGAGAAGGCTGTCTCAGAACCGCGCCCAACCTACAGATGAAAGTGCGGTGTCCTACATCTTGAAGTATAAAACCCCACAGACCATCTAATGACAGACGTCACTAGCAGTCGTCAGGTCGTCCACTTTTACAGGTCCCAAACACCCAAGGGTAACATAGAGGGGGGATGAAAGGAACAGGCAGTACCCTATTGGGTATATACGTACAGCTGTAATGAATGAAAGGCACCAATATGAACACTGATTTTAAAAATGAATAAATAAAGAAAACACCTAATGGATCAGACATGCACCTGAGGTCGTCCCTTTAGTTGAAATTCATAACAGAAGTTCGCACAGCTTCATTTAGGGGACAGATGGCTCTGGAACTGACAAATTCAATACGAGCCCAGACGTTTTCCTTCACATGGACTGCAGGATCAATAATAATACATGAAGGGCTTTAAAAATATCCTTTAGATATGCAAAAAGTACGCGTTGGTCAATTGGTAAACACGCACTTCAAGCACATGCATCTCATATGTTCATAATACAACAATAGCTTCTACAGGATTTACATGATATCACTGTAAAGATCTCCTAGTTCGCTACGCCAGCTGTCCGCTCTGAAACACCTGTCCGAACCCTCCTACTTCACCTGTCATTTGACCACAGCCTCCAGGGGCTGGCGCCAAAGTGGATGTGATCATGAAACGCGGCTTCCTTTTTCATATATAAAACGAATTTTTAACCAATTCTCCAATGCAGACCTAGGCCTCAGCCATTTTTGTGACGTTATCCAACTCTTTCAGCGCATTAAAACCCATTTCACTTTTATCGGCAATGTCGCCTGATGTCACTTCAAAGGTTAACGTAAAGGTTTACCTATCTTTGTAAAACTATATACATAAACTGCGTAAAACGTGTGTGTGTGTGTGTGTGTGTGTGTGTGTGTGTGTGTGTGTGTGTGTGTGTGTGTGTGTGTGTGTGTAAAGGCCAACCCGTACCACGGCCAAGAAAGCATCTTCCTTAGTTTAATTTCATGTTCATTAATTACTAGAAGGGGCCAGAGAAGACTTTGAGTGAAGCAACCCGCTCTTTAATGCAATAATGATCAGTTCTACAATACATGGCCATCCATGGTTTCAGAAAAGATACCATGTAAATGTGCAATAGGCACACATTAGCGCTATAATTCAATCCCATATCGTATTTCATAGACACCTAATGCAGAAAATCACAACGTACGGCCATGTAGATTGAGAGAGACGTACCGGTGGTAAAACCAAATGGGCATTGTGAAGAGAAAATTAGTTTTTCAACCAGACGTCAGACCTTACGATGGTTTCGCTGTTGTCAAATCATCTGCTTCAACGGCCCATATGAGTTTGATAGGCTAATAATTTCTGTGATACCGACTGCATTATTGCAGCTTAGAAGACAGTGTGCTATGAATAGAGATGGATGGAAGATTGGAGCCCTTCTATTTACAGGTCATTACAAGACATCTCGGAGAAAATGGGACATTTGTCAGTCCCTGTTGAGAGAGTCGTTTGTTTACCTTTCGGGAAGGTTATGAGCCTACCGCACACACGTAGGTATAAAGAGGAATCCAGACTGGATTTCAACTAAAATCTGCACGCTTTTCAACTTCAGGCCAGCAGCTGTTGTATAGTCCCAATACACAGTGTTTCAGTAGAAAATCTTGTGCTGAAATGTCTTATTATATTGAATTAACACTTTTTGTAGAAACTTGGATGTATTCCAATGTATACTCCACTGGTACTTTGTGTTTTGAAAATACAGTCTTGTGGTTATCTACCGTCGTTAAACAACATGTTCTAGGGTACAAGCCAATCAATAAAAAGGCTATTTACACAACAATTGATACATAAAAAAACTGCTTTCTGTGAATCTACAAATTTGTATATCTGGATGATCAGGACGATCGCGAGATCAAAAGGCCCCAGTTGTAGACACCCGATGAAACGTCACCCTTTATCAATCAATATACACCCCTGCCGGTTAGGACAAGGTGGAGAAGATAACTTCTGTCAGTCGACGTCGTATCAGGGGGTGTCAGCATCTAGATACATCTATCTACTGTACACGAAACTTTCATGATAAAGCTGGTTTCAGATAAATCCTAAAGGTACACGGTAAACGACTGTGTGTTGTGCCCGTAGCTGTCATCTTCTTGTGCACACTTTTGTGTACGCCATGCTCAAAAATGCAAGCCAAGGTAACACAATATTATCGTTAACAGTGACGATCTAATGACCATGAGTACT